ATATATATTTTCATTAATATCTATCGAAATCATATATTTATTTATAATTCATTTTATGATTCTCTATATTTCATAAATTATAATTAAATTTATTATATATTAAATATATTAAATATATAAATATATATAAATTAAATAAATATATATATATTTAATTTATAATTAGTTTAATTCATTATATTTATTATTTAAATTATGTTTTCTTTATATTATTATTTATATTTATAATTGAATTTTTGAAATATTAGTATAATTTCTATGAAATTAATAAATATATATTTATATTTCAATCATATAATTTATTTAAATTAATTCATTATATATATAGTTTAATATATTATTCTAATATTATTCTAACCTCGCAAGTTATATCCAAAAATAAGTTTTAAAAAACATATATAAATTAATATTATTAAAATTTAAATATAAAAATATATCAAATATATATCGATTTAAATAATAAAATCATATATATTAAACAATGCTATAACATATTATATTCTTTCTTATTACTCGTAAATTTAAATTCCCTCATTCGGCCATCCATCGCCCAAAATGTTTAATTCATCCAATTAAAAAATCAAATTATTTTAATAAAATTAAATATATTCCTTTAAACTAAATTAAAATATTTATTTCATTAAATCAACCTTAAATTAATTTTATCATTCCAATCATCATATTATACAATTAATATATAATTTATCATTTTTAAATAACTATATATATATATATTAATATTTGATTTTTATTATTAAATATATAATCATTAGTTAGTTCGAAATTGTATCAACAAATAAACAAGTATAGAGTTCTGAATAAGCCATATATTTCTATGTAATGTCTAACAATCCTTTTGCATTCAGACAGGGAGAGCGGCCTGGTCAATTAAAATTTCTACAACGCGACTTGCGGTGTGCATCTAGTACAGCCCAGGACGATCTGCAAGTTGGATTCATGAAGTGGGCGCTTGCCCTCTTCAGAAAAAGCTCTGCTCGATTCTTGCAGCTCAAACGGCGAAGCCAAGCTTCCGACTTGCCTCCCGGACGCGGCTCCAAAGGCCAAGTCAGCAAGCTTCCGACTTACCCCCTGGATGCGAGGCGAGAAAACCAAGCTCTCCTTGCGTACCAAAAAAGAAGTGACTGCAGGTGGCCGCTCCATCCTCATAGCGCAAAGGAAACAAAAGAAACAGTTGAACAGCGTTGGTCCCTCATGATTCTTAAGAGGTGGGCCGGCCTTGGGAAAAAGGTATGATCCAGTGCGTCTGGCGGAGGGCTCGGGGACTGCTCCCCAAGGCCCATCTATGCCAAAGGACGCCTAACCCACGCACCAAGCGCCACAAAGGTGCCATGTGCAGAGTGCAAAGCAAGGGTAACAAGTGGTCGAATTCTTGAAAGAAAGAACATGAGATTTGGTGCAAAATGTGGGCTGGACCATCAGTTTGTTGTTCCTTCCTGCTCGTCAAGCAGCAAAACATTGAGCCAGGAGCCTGAGCAAGCAATCGTTTTTCTCATTCCCTTGCTTCAGCGTAAGCTCAGGCTGCAAGGCGGCTGGAAATTGGAGCTTGGCATGAGCATCCGGCCATGCTTTTTTTTTAACATGGCCCCACAAAGCACTTGGCCCTTGGCCTGCGAGGCGAGTCAAGCTGTCGCACACGGGACGCGGCGCTGACGCTAGTTCTCGCCATACAAAAGACTTTGGCTTCCGCACGGGGGCGGGCTCTCCTGCCTCATACTATCCGAGGCACTTGCGCACACATGCCACCGGCGTTTACATGCCGTGAATCCTGGGCCACCGGGGGAGAAAGAAAAAAAACAAAAACGCGCTGTCATGGCAAAGAACCTCAAGAACAAACATTACTTGGCCACAACATCCCTGGATGAGATGCAGTCCCGATTTTCTCCCCGGGCCTCAATGTATTTAAGGCTGCTTGCCTTCGCGGGCTCCTCCCGCAAACTAAGCCCTGGACTGCAGAGTCCACATAACTTTGCTTTGAATGGAGGTGCTTGAGGTGCATTTCATCTCACACAACGGAAGGCTTTTCATGTAGACAAGGGGAATGATGTGGATTCTGCAAGCTTCAAATACGACTTGGCAATGCCCCAAAGCAGGAATGGCAAGGAACGCCAAGCACTGCTGTGGGGGCAACGAGGTACGACGCAGGGATGGCAGAGAACGCCACAGCACTGCTCCCGAGAAAGAGCAATGGCCCGCAAAGAAGGGATGGCAAAGAACGCCACAGCACTGCTCCTCCTGGTGCGACAACACATGCGCGTCTAGACTACGCATGCGTTCTTCGAAAGCTTCCCGATTGGCTTTGGGAACCTTCGAGCCTTCAAACAACTTTGACAACAATGGAGAACCGGTCCCGTCATCTTTGGCATGCTTTTAGCTCTTGCCACATCAACGGCGGCCTTCTCACCCCATTGGCCCGCCTCACAGCCAGTACAGCTTGTTTGTCAAAACCTGGCAGGGACACATTCAACCAGGCAACGGAGCCATAGCCCGAACCGAACTCACAGGCACCGGTCAGCCAAACTGCAAGGGGCGCGCTGGTGAGAAATCGGTATATAAGCCGACTGAAAACACGCCAGGTTGCGCCTGTGCATCTTGCAAAGCTTTTGCGTCCTGAATCAGCAACTTGACTCCACTCAGCTTTCAGGAGACACAGATGGGTTTGTCAGCTTACACCCATCGGCTTGCGATCCACTGGGGAAGTACCGTAGAACTCTATCGAAAATTAAACAAGGCCGGACTAGAGAATTCAGAAAAAAAAAAAAAAAAAAAAAAAAAAAAACAGGGAACAACAGTTGTCCTGCCCACTTTTACAGCAACCGCACAGGGAGAAAAAGGAACTGACGATTCCAAGTGCCAATCTGCTTGGAGCTGTTTGAGTTCCTCCACAAACCCAAGCCACAAGAATCTCCATGATTCCCATCTTTTGCACAAGATTACGTCTGCTCATTTCCGCAGTCCTGCTCGGCTTCTGCTTTCGCATGGTGCTGGCTCTGAGCGCGAAGTTTCCTTCGACGTGCTGCAGCCTCTTGCTTCGTGCAGAAGTGGCAGTGGCTGCACGCGTCTCCCTTTCGGCAACCGTCTTTTTTTGAGGCGAAGAAGAGGCACGGCACGCAAAGGCCCGCGTCGTGCATGTCCTTCTTGGCAAGTCGGGGAAGCGGAACAAGTTCCGGCTCCGGAGACATTCCCATTTGCCCGTCCCTCATTGCCTGTACTTTGCGCCGCGCAGCAACTAGCTTGCAAGCTCCCTGGACGGGTGATCCGTTCAAACGGCTGCAGCACGCACAGGCCGCAGTAAAGCTGACAAAGCTTGACATCGAAGAACGGCCAAGTGGCCACAACCAAACAGCCACAACAAGTACCTAACAGTTACGGTGTAAATTTACTCGCTGCGGTTGCATCATGATGCTATCAAACATTATGGCTTGCCGACAGTGCACCCACATCTATCAAATAGCATGAGGAGCTGTCTGCATTCACGGTTGGAAGTAACATGGTTGCCGTATCCCCTGCCCAATGTACGCAACAATGTGCCTTCACATGGCCGAATGCAGTGTTCCAAAAGCGGGAAATCAAATCCTTGATGCAAGCCGAATTTGCATGTGCTGATTTTTCTCCAAAGCCAGCCTTCTCCCCTCTCGTGAGAAGACGGCTGGGCAGGCAATCTACGAAGATGTCCGGCCTCGCGCATCCAATGGGGAGCACATCAACATGTTCAGTATCCTGTTCTCCTGGTTCCATGATCAGTTTCAGGCAATGACCCCAAGCAATGGCCTGACATGTACACATGATTCCTTGTCATGGAATGCCTTGTGCGGGGAACCGCTGCCGGGTAAGCAACATACGCAAAACAAAAAAAAAAAACGGGACAAACAAAGGATAAAAATGAAAAGTCGTTCACTGAAATTGTACGGATCAACTACGAGGCGTATGCGGCTTAAATACGCGCTCGGCAAAAATTGAAAGCGATTGTTTATTCATAAAACCAGGTTTCCACTGAACATGTACGAAACAGGTGTTTCAGTCAAAACCCAACAACAAGTGGGAGTTTCGCATTCCAGGTGGAGGTACCGGTTGAATCCCTTGTCCATTTGTCCAGCACATAATCTCGATTCAATTTCCAACCGATTTGGTGCAGCGGTGACAAAGAAAAGGAAAAAACGAAACCGTTGGGCGCTCCATGGCACACCTCGCTATGGCTCACTTGCTGGCAGCTGGGTCAAAGCTGGCTGGACCTGTTACTCACTTCCTACGGAGGATTCGCCCAACAAGTCCGAACATGTTTTGTGCCAACAATATGGTCTTCCGCAAAGAACTAAGAAGTACAAAGCGGGAATTCAGGGAGTGAGACCAAGCGGTGCTGCACAAGCAAACTGAGGCCCGTACCAATGATAACCCTCGCCTGCGCAGAATCATGTGGCATGGCAGCATCCGACACATGCAGCTGGAAACAGCTCTCGCTACCAGTGTGACTACCCTCCCATCCGCGAACATGGAGGCTGACGGGTCGTGGATTTGTTTTCCAAGGGACTCTCTGCTTCAGGTCCCTCATTCATTCATTCATTCATTCATTCATTCAGTCATTCATTCATTCATTCATTCATTCATTCATTCATTCATTCATTCATTCATTCATTCATTCATTCATTCATTCATTCATTCATTCATTCATTCATTCATTCATTCATTCATTCATTCATTCATTCATTCATTCATTCATTCATTCATTCATTCATTCAACCCGGCGCGTTTTCGCACACTTTTCTCTTGTAAAACAATACCATTCATGGAAGCTCGCCAGAACTCGCTGAATTCTGGCCATCGCCCGGACCAGAAGTTGCAGGGGGTCCATCGGAGGTATGGGGTTGTCTCTAATTCATCAACGGTGAAATGCTTAGCTCCAATACAAACCCGCTTTTTAAAATATACGAAATCCAGAAACTTGGCCATTGAAGGCATATTGCCTCTTGGCCCCAGGTCCGCATTCAGCAAAGCAATCGGGCAGTGGCTTCTTCTTCGCTGGAAGTTTCTTGACTGAACCGGCCTCAGGTGCACTCATGGCAAGCTTTCAAACCACTCAGCTTCAGCGAAACAGCTACCTGCCACCGCCGCGACAACTGACAGCAAGAGCATCACCAGCAACAGCGATAACGAACCACGCTGCTGACAAGAATGACGAGCAAGAACAAGCATTAGAACGGCAACAGCACCGACATGAAGAATCAACCCCACCGGCACCACACCGCCAACAACAACAGCAACAGATTAACAAGAATGAAAAAAAACAATAAAAATAACAATAACAAGAACAACAGCAACAACGTCAACGCCAACAGCAACGGCAACAGCAACGACCAGAACCACAACCAACAAACAACAAACAAGAACCAACAGAACAAGCATTCAAGCAAATAAAAATACAAACCCATGGCACAAAGCACTCACGCAGAAACAATCACCCACACCACAAGAGAACAGCAAGAGAGGCAAGCAAGAGAAGCAGCGGTGGCGGCGGCGGCAGCAACAACAGCAAAGAAGCACATATTCTCCGTAAATCAGTTTTTGCAGACAACACGCACTTACAGGAAAGCAAGCAAACAAAGCACCACAAACCAAAGAGACAAAAAATCGGCAAGCAACCAATCCAAGAACCAAGCAGCATCCGCCAAAGCGCAAAGACGAATAACACAAGACTAAGAGCGGGAGCAGCAGTCGCAGTGACAGCAACAAGAAAATCCACGACCTCCGCTTTTGCTCGCAACGGGCGTGTGATCTAGAAAAGAGGTCACAGAGAAGTCCTTGGAAGCAGGCTACGACGAAAACTTGAAAGACTCTTTCATCACAAAAGTCATGGACCAGTCGACAACAAGTTCCACCTTTGCCAACTCAAGCAAGTGAAGAGCCCCTGCAACAGGCTGGGGGATGGCTGCGAGGCTTTGAACCTTTTGCAGCGAGTTGCTTGACTCATGTCGCGCAGCCTCCTTTCGTTCACGGTCGAGCTTTTCGATCTCAACAACCTCGGCTTTGCCCAGAACAGGGTACCTGTCCAGTCATCCTTCTCCCCCCAAAAACGAGGGCTCCCGTATCAATACAAAGTCAAACCCTCGGGGGGAATTACATGTCCATCATTCGGGGGCCCTTCATTGCAGAGAAGGGAATCCGATTCCATCCTGGCACAAATTCCTCCATTTGCTTGAGTCCCCTGGAAAAAATAAAGCAAATCCAGGAGTGATAATTCCCTTCCAAACCATCAAGGGAAAACAACAAATATTCTTAATCAAATGGAAGAATTTGGTATGGCAGCTTGCGAGTGCAATCCGCTGTTCGGAGCCGTCCGTCAGTGCCAAGACGCTTTGGCGAGAATGTACTTCCTCCAAGCTGGAATCACCACGAGGGTAATGAGAAATGTCAGGATCAGCTTTACTCCAAGGGCATCCTTGGGCAAACACGGCATCAGCGATGACTTGAACATGCAGGTGTCAACGCCTTCGCAACCACTTCAGGTCTTTTAACACAGCCTCTGCAACAACCAAATTCCAAGATGGCATCCTCGCCATGCGACAAACACTTGCAGCCAAGCTTCCTCCCATAAGGAAGAAATCGCTTCCACACAGCCGTCAAAGGTATGCTCCCAGGTAAATCCAACGAGAATGCTCAGAGCCGTGATGATGTTCCTTGATGGCCGAAAGCAGCATCCCAAGTTGTCAAGCCAAATAACTTTCCCAAACTCATGAACGAAGCAACTCCTCTTTCCACATGTAGCCGTGCAACACGTGTTTCTCTTCCATTCACTTCAGATGCACAACAGCGACGACAACAACCGAACGGGTAAACGTGTTTAAACCATTCCAGCAACAAACACCTAAAGACCGGAAGTCGCCATCCCTGAGCAAGTCCTTCACCTCAAAAGGGGGGCATCGCCTTGTGACATGAGTGACCGTCCTTTCTTTTTCCAGGAAAGCTGATTCCGCCCCTAGGAAAACTTGGTAACGAAGAGGCGGATGGCCAAAGAGCAACGCGAAAACTGCGAGATGTCTCTCACGTACAACCGTTCAAAGAGGTGTCGCTTTTTGCGAGCACTCCCTTTGCAGTGTGAATGGGGCACCAAAAGGAAGCCGGGCCACCTGTGGAGCGCAAGTCATGTTCCATTTTGAGACCATAAACAACGCATACAGTAGAGATAAATGCACCCATAAACATGTAGATTGTTCAACGTTTCTCAAATATTGTCTTGTTGTGTAAAACATATCATGTGTGTGTGTATGTGCAAGCATTTGCATGGCGAGTCACTTCACGAGCTTATAGAGCTTGTCCTCCCCGTCTTCTCGCAGCGCGTCCTCGACCTTGTCCAGGACGATGATGAAGCCGCAGGTAAAAAGGGACAGCGTCATGGCCAAGAGCACCCGGCCTTCCCACAGTGCTAAGCTAACACCACCAACCAAGAACGCACAGGGAAAAAAAAAACAACAACAACAAAAACACCAACCTGAAAGCAGAAAGGACCAACAAAACGAAAATCAACAGCAAAGACTCACTCACTCACTCACTCACTCACTCACTCACTCACTCACTCACTCACTCACTCACTCACTCACTCACTCACTCACTCACTCACTCACTCACTCACTCACTCACTCACTCACTCACTCACTCACTCACTCACTCACTCACTCACTCACTCACTCACTCACTCACTCACACTCACTCACTCACTCACTCACTCACTCACTCACTCACTCCCTCATTCACTCACTCACTCACTCACTCACTCACTCACTCACTCACTCACTCACTCACTCACTCACCCACTCACTCACTCCCTCATTCCCTCATTCCCTCACTCCCTCACTCCCTCACTCCTTCACTGACTGACTCACTGACTCACTGACTCACCGACTCACTGACTCACTGACTCGCTCACCCACTCACTCACTCAATCAGAAAACAACACTTCGCGGCAAACCATCACACTGTACTTCAAAGCCAAGAACGCGAAGCATTTACATTTTGTTTCCAAACAGTTGCTGCAAGGACAACCGCCGAATGTACTTTGTGTAAGAATCCCTCAAACCCGCGCCGTCCAACCACAAGCGTGGGTCCCACTCGCAATTCCAGGCCTTCGATGGTCACCGGCGAGATGTTGTGCTTCTGAAGCAGCGGCCAGGAGTCGAACAAGCACCGGGTGGCGAAGAGAAAAGCCCACGCGAAGCCTCCGAATTCAGCGTCAAAGGTTCGAATCTGTTTTGTTGCCCGCGCGGGGCCCAAAAAAAACCGAACGCTGCAGTAGGGATGAAGCTATGCGGGAACATTACCAGGGGAACACCAGGTTTTCACTCTGATCCATACTGATTTGTGCTGGCTTGCTTAGCGCTTCTTGAGGCACCAGCTGTCACCAAAACAATTTGCACCCAAGGAAAAAGCCTTAAACATCTCTAGGCCATGACAGGCGCGATTGCTGAGATATATCTGCGCAAGCCACTATTACCCCGCCCAACCTGGAAATGGGAAGCCCCGCCCACCAGTAAAAACAACCTTCATCATTGGTCTTTCCCTCTCTGTCGTGTGGGTGCGTCTTTCTGTTCGGGTTACCCCCGGTTGGGTTGTCTTTAGAGAAACTCGTGGGAAACTTGCAGTGCTGTGGAATCTCGTGCTGATCTGCGTTTTGCCAGACAAAGCTTACACTTTCCAGAAAATACAACTAGGTCCTCCGGTAGAGAGGTTGGAATAAGGGTGCCCTTTTTTCTGTAGTCTGTTTTAGTAGGGGACCCTCCCCTACTAAGGAAACGGTCAAAGGGCACTACTGGGGGACCTAGACAACATGCAAGTTCACCAGCTAACTTAAGCTCAGTTGTTCAGCGACCATGGAGCAAAAAAAGGGGAACCCTATTTGGGGAGGACCGTTTTTCGTGGGGCAACCACCAAACCAAAGGGAACTAAAGGGTGCCGCTGAACAACTGAGTATACGATAATTTCCGCCCAAACACCCATGGAGCAGCAGCCGACCACCAGGTCTTTCCCGCGAGACCGGGGCAAAGTCAACGCACAAATCGTCATGAGCACCTCAGCGGGGCGGGGCAGACTTCCGCCAGTGCCACTGACCCGCAAACCCCAAAGAAGACATGGGACAATTAAACCATTTCTAGGGCGCAAGAAGACCCTTCATTGCTATGTTTGGCGTGTCTTCAAGGGATAGGCTCAGGGACCTTTGAGGCTGGGAGGAATTTGATAGGACCTACTCGCTTGCTGTTGTTTTGCGAAAGCTGCGTCTGCTTCTTGCTCCTGATTCGCCAAAGCTGGGCTTGCAAGGGAGCGCTTCCTTCCTGGAACAGCTCACAGGTCCAAATAATCAATCCAAACTTGATCTCTCTCTCTCTCTCTGTGTCTGTGTCTGTCTCTCGCTGTCGGGCTGCGCGAGCCGTTTTCTCCGCGGGCCGAGCTTGAAGGTCCATTCAAGGGACAGACACAGAAGAAACCAAGCGAGAACACCTGCATGTGTACGATTTAAGGTTCGGGCTTCCAGTATAAATGAATACTCCCCACCACTGGTATGCAGCCACAATCTGTTGTACGCATATGGTCTCTGACTCTCTTTCGCTCGCAACCTGATAAAATGGAAACAGCAGCGCCTTGTTGCTCACTCGCACCCGCTTAGCTTTTTTTTTGGGTGCGAGCGGTGACATATTTCCTTTTGTTTCTTCGGAGGCCTTGCGAAATGGGGCGCGGGAAAGTCAACTTGCATCAGAATCGGGCCAGAAGCAAAGGTAAGCGCGGGAAAGTCAACTTCCAGCAACAGGTAACCAGAAGTAAACGACCAAAGTAGAGGCAACCAACTCAACCAAAAGTAAAGGTAACCAAACCATCAGATCCAGGTCGGACATTGGAGGGCTCGAGTCGGCATCTCCGCAACCTGCTCAAAGCCAGAAAGCCAGGACCACTTTGTCCACTTGCAACAACATGGGTGAACATATGACGATGGCTGGCCAAGCAAAGCTATGAGCCTCAGGAGGGACATGCCACTGCCCATGGCAAAAGACAAGTCGGCCAGTGGAAGTTGCATCAAGCACGGAAGCGCGCAACCCACCTTGGACCACTTTGCCTAAGGGACGTTTGGCCGGGTACGTGAAACTTGTGGCATTGAAGCCATAGGAGTTGTGCCATGCGCCAGCGGGACTGTTCACTAAGCTGGGAAAGCGCGGGCAGCTCTCGCTTCCTTTCGCGGAATGGACATGCAGCAAAGTGCATCGGGCAACATGCCCAGGGCTCAACATATGCCAAGGTATGGCACACACACAGACACGTGCCAACCTGCTTCCCCCAGCGAAGACTCAATCCCCCAATTGAATGGTGCCACAGGGCGGTGGGTCATCTTGGCTTGATGCGTCTGCGCAGTCTCAGGCATTGCGTGTCCTTTCGCAGTTGCTGGGAACTCCTTCGGTTTGTTGACAAGCGCTCAAAAAAGCGAGGTCAAGCAAAAGCCCACAAGCGTCGCTGTGGATCAAACGTGGCAAGCACCAACCACTGACTATGTTCAAAGAACTTGCTTTTGCTGTTGCGCTAAGGGGGGTTAGGGTCTTCCCGCTCAAACACATGTTGAGACGGAAGGACATACCAGAACCAAAACAACACGTTCGGCCTAGGTCTAGTGCGACATATTGACAGTTGAGCCCCCACAAAACGAGCAAGGAGGTGTGGCTCAAGTCTTCGATACACATCACCCTCAAAAGAGATGCACGTACCTCATGTACCTAGACATAGAAACGCGAATGCGTATGAATCAAGCCAGCCGCGGAAAGCGCAGCATGATGCTACATCAGGCCCGTCTCACAAGCCGAAACCAACTTTCACGATTCTTCTCCATACTCAGTCAACCTTGAAGCACAAAATCATTGCAAAGGAACAATTCGAACAGGATTTTGGTGGTTTTTGGTGCGTGTCAGCGCCCCTGAAACCTCTCAGGCGGGTGGCTGCAAGCAGCACGCCCACGCCATATAACGCGAGGCTTTGATGAGATTCCAAGGCCTCAGCAAAAAGCGACATGATGTCATGACCCCCTCCCGGCGGAATTACGCCTGTTCACACCATGGTTCAAGCAACTATTGTTTAAGCAACCTCCTTTTGGCAATATCCTTTAAGGGAGGGTGGAACTCCCAGATTTGGCGCCGGAAACCGATTTCATCAACTCCTTAGCCCAAGGAGTTGATCAATGCATTTGGCTGTAGGTGGCTTTTTTCCTATGCAAACTCAACTCGAAACAGTTGACCAAGCAAACATTGGAGCCTCCCTTTGTGTTCTGTTTTTTTTTTGGACTAAGTCAACACGGTGCAGGTAGCATTTTTACCCACAGCATATATGCACTTGGCCAAGAAACATCAATATGCATTCGGGTCATTGTATCCCATTAAAACGAATCCTGAGGTCATAACCCCGCGTGCACTTTAATTTTCCCGGATCAAGTCCGTCCCCTTTTGGGGGGAATCCAAAGATACAGAGTTGTCTCCAAACAGGGATGCCCCCCGAGATTGCTTTGCTTCCCTTTAATGCCACCTCAAAACGACCAAACAAAGCGGGATCTCCTCTCAAAGAAGGAATCGCAAGCATGTCGGGAACCCCTTTCACCTCAAGAGCGGTAAGGATCCAGGGTTCGTTGACAGCAATCTCGCACAAGCTACAGGGATGCTCCATCCGGCGACGTCAACCGTTTTTGGCCGCAGCCGCCAGTTCGTGGTATAGCCCCAGCTTGCTTGGCAGCACGCCTGCGGAGTTCATAGAGTCCAAACACCGCTGTCTCCTTTCCCCCCCCCCCGCCCCCTGCTTCCCAAAAAAAACACCCTAAGACGGCCGTAATAAAATAACGCCTCTGGAGGAAACTTGAAGGGGGGGGGAGAAATGCCAATAATTTCCCATGAAAGCCGGGCCATTCTGACTTCCTGCGTGTCTCAACTGGGGGTTTCCAGGCGGTACCCCCTGTCCGAAGTTACCCTTCCTCCCCCTAGCATGGCATGTGGGAGGGCATCTGGAAGATAAGTGTCCTCTTGGAGAACCCCCCCTGTCAGGTGCCATGATAGGAGACAGGGTGCCACAGATTCCAAGAGGATTTGAAGAATATGGTCTTCGATTCATCCAAAGTGACATTTCAAGTCCTCGAGCCTTTCCAATGGCTGCACTGTAAGCTCAGATCTCTTGCCAGTGACTGGCTCAAAACTTCTCAAAGCCAGTGATCGGAGCTGCACACCGACTATGATAAACCGAGCAACTTGGCAAATGTTGACCGCCTGCATCACATCTGCAGAAACTAGTGCAACTCAAAAATCTGAAGTAAGAGACCCAAGCAAACCATTCGTCAGGCATCTGTGTTCAGTCAACCGGGTGGATGAGAAACCGTGCTCAAAACATCTTTGTTTCACATCTAATGTCCGAGGCAAGACCAGTCTTCCGCCACAACATCCCGCCTGTAATGGTAAACCGCGCAGACTGCACGACCAAGAATGAGATGGCCACGCAAAAGACGTCGTCCTCCGCATCGCGGCTCTCCTCGACGAAGAGGCGCCCAGCTTCCGTTTCTTCCAATTGAGTGTACTTGATCGCTGTGATGCCTGGTGCGTGAGGGTCTGCGATTTGGACAACCTCTTGGGAAAAGCAAAGGCGCGAGGAGGCAACAGGGTCGGGAAAAAGGAACAGTGAAACAGGAGGAACAAGCGATACTGAGACTGACACAAAGAAGGGGATTAGGGGCAGCACAATTAGAACATGTTTTCTTAGGCTTGCCGATGACGAGTGCAACATGCCACGTAAAGCCACGCGTCGAAGCTTCGAAGCATCGGCAGCTTGCAACTGCTTATGCAAGAAACTTGGCTCTCCAATCCAGCCTGCCTTGCCTAGAGGTGAAGGTCCCGCTCCATTTAAAGAATCTGCACCAGTGGGACATGCAAGCATTCCCCATCCAATTCCAAAACCTGCAAGGGACTTCTGCCCCAAGTTTGCTGTAACCCCACTAAGCCTCCATGTGGCAGGAAACCCACTTGATCATTGCTTGACTGAACCTCAAGGAAACTGAGTCCATGCCTACCTCGCTTGGTGTGTTGGGCATCGTTTGAAGGCCAAAGCGGCTGAAAACCAGCAGCAGGAAGAGGACGCACAAGCCGATTGCCAGCCAGGAGAAGGCTGGGTTCGTGACGAAGGGCTTGGCATTTTGCAAATCCCCGCCGGCACCTTGCAGAGCTTTCATACATACCCCTTTCATTCCTGCGCAAATGAACCCAAAAGGGCTGATGTTCATACCCCTCTCCACAAGGAGGTACGAACAAAGGGTATGTAATCCCTCGGATTCTAAGCTGGTTTCCAGCAGACCCAAAACCACCATTTCCAGGTTCCGAGGGGTGGAAAATTGGATATTCAGCCACACAATTGCCACCGCATACAGGATGTGCATACCCAGTTTTCTCTTGGATATGTCGAAGCCGAAGCCCTCTTGGATGGGCCAAAGGCGGAAAGTCACGCGTGATCCAAAGGAACCACCATTTATCATCTGCCTTCCCCAAAAAAAAGCAGGCGGTCACTTGGGTACAAACTTTTGGGGCTAAACCGGCTCCGCTGAAAATGGCGGTCGGTCACTCGATATGTACAGAGGTCAAGCTGAAAATGGCCAGTCTCGGGCCGCCTCGACGCCGGACGGGCCAGGCTGGTTGGCTCTCTGCAGTGTAACTCGATGTGAGTTTTGTTTGGCATCCCAATCATTTGAGGTGCCTTTTTGTTGGGTGAAAACCAACAGGAACACCAGCAGTTTGGCGGCCTAAAGGTAGGCCGCGCCAGGTCGACAAGCCTGGCGGCTCTGTGACTAGTGACCCCTTGTAACATTGTAGGCTGTTCCTCGGGCGTGTGTAGGTAGAGTAAACCCTTGTTCGGGTCTTGGAGGGGACTGTTTAACAAGGCTGATTAAACAACTTGGCTGTGCGCCAAAACGGGAAAAACTTCAAGAGGCCGCCAACATCCCGCTTTTGTGTTGGCTTCCAAGGAAGCCAAGAGGAGACCGGCAGGGTTCCTACAAGTTAGACCAGCTCATAACGATCACCGAGGCCCAAGCTGATCATGGCGAAGGCGGACATGTGCGCGTACAGCCTTGGCTCGAAAAGTTGGAAGCTGAGTTGGTGGACTGAGAAAGGCAACCGGCAAAGACCGAATCAGCTTCCCACAAAAAGGGTGCTTTGGATTGGTGGTTTGGATTGGTGGTTTGGAGGTTAGGGGCTGGTTTCCCATTTACCCTCTACAACCCAGGCAGAAAGGGAGTCACTGAATCGGGAAGGGACAATCGAGGGTTGGGCCTATTCCTTCTTCGCGCATGTTCAATGGCTGGCTGGCTGGCTGGCTGGCTGATTGGTTGGTTGGTTGGGTGGTTGGTTAGCCGGTTGGCTGGCTGGCTGGTTGACAGGACTGAAACCTAGGGGATTCCCCTTCACGGACAGGAAGAAAGCGGTTTTGAGCTTCCCTAGTAGTGCACAAATGGCATCAACTTGTCAATTGTGTGGGGCTGCAACTATGAGAAAAAAAGGAGAAAGACAAAAAAAACAGCCCAACTGTCACCCTTAAGCAGAAACAAAGATCCGGAAAGTTGCCCGTTCACTATGCCTATATCTTGAAACAAAGGGGTTCCCAATTCTCCTCGGATCGCTGTCCGCTCGCTCTCGGAGCCCCTCGGGGGTCGGTTTCTCCAAGGAGCATGGCCCAGCACTTGGTCCGCCGCTCGAACTTTTCTTTCACCGTGGGCCGGCTGGACACGAAGACCTGCGTGCAACACTTCCAGGTTGCCAGGCACCGCAGGTGTTGCCCATGGGAAGAAAACACGGGGCCCAAGGGTCCAGGGGCCGTGCCACACCCCGAATTGCGAAAAGGGGTCTGAAAACCAACAGGACGCCTAGGGTAGGAGAATCATGGGGAAACGGGGAAACAGGTTGAAACACGCGAAAAAGTGAGGGGGACCATTGCCGCAATAAAAGATTTGCCGCAAATGGCCCTTCAGAAATGGAAACAACGATGCACCTTACATCGGCCACCAAAGGGAATCTCACTTTTCGAAAGGTGATGTTTATAAGCAGTGACAGGGGACTGGTTCCAAGTGCCGATCTGATATTGCTTGAGACGGGGAAGGCTCCTGTTTGAGAAGGTCCTCCAGTTCATCCAGGAACAAGCGCTCAGGGGCCCGGTGAACAATTTCTTGTGGATTCCTTTCAGGGAATCCCTAGGTTCATTCCCAAACCCGTCCGGGTCATTCCTTACTCAGCACCAGCAAGACAACCAATCTCGGGAAGCTGCCGCAACACGAGGTGACGGGGCAGGTGGGGAAAGCCTACAGCCATCCCAGCAACACGCCGTCTCCCGAACGCTGGAAGGGGCTCGTCAAAGTTTCACGCTTCACTTCAAGGGAAACACCAGCCGTGCTCGGCTGTGCCAAATACAGTCTTATGTTACCCTGCTGCATTGTGGCTCCCACCAAAAAATATGTTGCTGCCTGCCCCCCTCGTATCCGAAAGTTGAGGCATCGGATTTTGGCCGAATTCAAGATTCGCGGAGCTCTCTGCTGAAACATCTTCATTTGGAGAAGGTTATACTCGAACATATACTTTAAACAAAGGCCGAACCACTGCAACTCCCCTTTGGTTCGCGTCTCCCGGTACAGAAGCCGGATTAAAACTCTGCTTCACCGCCTAAAAGAGCTTGAGTTGACTCGTGGGTGCAGAGTTGGCATGTTGTCGCGTGTTGTTTGCTTTTTGTTGTTTTGGGGGGTTACTCGGATCTCTTCTCGGCAAGTTACCAGCATCCAGCAACACCCCGGAGCTTAAAGCTGGAGCCGATGTCCAGTTTGGGTTTATTTTGGAGATTGAAATGGGTTTAAGGTGGGCTTGGGGTTGGCTAAGGGTGGGTTTCGGGTTGTTTGGAGATTTTAGAAAGGGTTCTAGGGCCATTGTAGGGTTGGTTTAGGGATGGTTTGGAGTTGGTTTACGTGGTTCAGGATGGACTCGGGGCGATTTGAGGGGACTTCGCGTGGGTTTAGGGTGAAGCTAGCTTTGGTTCAGGAGGTGGTTTCAGTTTTGTTTAGGGTGGTAGGCTTGGTTTGGTGGTTTGTTTAGGGCTCGTTTAGGGTTTAGGGTCGGTCTGAGGTTGGTTTTCGGGCTGGCTCAGTGTTGGTTCAGAGCTGGTTTAGGGTGGACTAAGGGTGGTTCAACGGTGGTTTAAGGGTGTGCTTTGAGTTGCTTGGGTTTGGGGTGGGTTGTAGGGTGGCCTCAGGGTTGGTTGATGGCGAGTTTGGGGTTGCGGTTAAGGGTGGGGCACTTGCTGGTGATGCTAGCGGGTATTGCTGGGGTGTGTGGAATGGTAAAGCCCCGAAAGCCCCGAAAAGCTGCCCAAGACCAAAAAGCCACCCCAAACCACTAAAGCAACCAACTACAAAAGCCCCACAGGCCACCTTCCTGTGAGCCACAAAAATAAAAACGCCGAAGAAAAAAGAGAAAAACAACATGGGAAACTCACAAACATAAATCGCACGCCCTTGCATACTGTTTCTGAAGCATTGGCTGACTGGCTTCGGGGCGTTGAGGTTGGGGAAATCTTGTTGGCCAGTGACGCCCTTCTCCATGTGGCAAGTTGGCTAGCGACCCCCAGACGTATTCACACCCTCACCTCTCACTCTCCCCAAGGATGTGGACAAAAATGTGGGTTCCTGGCTGCGGACCAGCAAATCCAAACCTACCAAAAGGTCGAGTCGCGTTGTTGCAAGCGAAGCATGGCCAAAATATGAATCGACGTGGAACCAACAAAACGAGGATCCCAAAAAGGAGAGTCTTCTCTGGACGAGGGTTTTTGACATTCCGCGTCCTCTGCGGGGAAGTGTATAAGGCAAAGTGAGGTCCTAAAAAACATAGAACAGGGTTGTGGTGCCCTTTCGAGCTAAATCGTGATCCTAAAATTATCATGTGAGATATTGTCTAGCCAATTGTCATATTACCCCCCACCAAAACACATTGGCAGGGGGCGCCTGGTTTAGCATCTTCCTCATGGGTTCCATAGTTGTGTGCTTTCAATCTCTAAATGGGGGTACCCCAATCTTTTTGTGGTTTCCCTTTAACACAACTCCTTGAAAGGGCTTGGCAGATATTACCGCAATCCATTAACGCAAGACAAGCTAGTACATTTGTGCAAACAAAAACACGTGTGGGTAGTTTCAATTGAGGGTTGAAAAAAAGAAAGAAAAAACAAACACAAAAACAAAACATGCCCATTTGGTAAGGAGAGCATCCGAAGCCACGCCCCTGCCTCCACGCCCTCCACCTCCGCGATGCCCTTAGAGCGGCAGCCTGGCAGTCAGTGGAAGTTCTGGATGGATCCCTGGACGACTCTTTGGGTTTTCAAATGCTGCATGCTTGAACAGAATGATTGAGCAGAATTCTTGATTCTGTCCCTTTAGGGTAAACAGACTTTTCGACCAAAACAAGCAAACAGGACAACTATATGCCCTTTGGGTTTGCAACTGGTGCGTGTTGAACAGGATGATTGAGCAGAATTATTGATTCTTTGGTTGATTCATTCTTTTCAATGGCCTTGTAGATGGCCAATTTGACAAATCCAAAACCTGAAGGAAGAATCGGACCCCTGAGTAAAGGAACTACAAAGTGAGCTCCTTTCTTTGGACAGCGCAATGCACACAAGGAAGATTGTATTCTCTGCCCCGCACATGGAACACTTGCTCGTCCCCGTGTCGTGTGGCCGTCCGTTTTCAAAGGCCCCTAGGGATCAGAGGCTTGGAACTGCTAAGATGGCACCGCTGGGCTTGTGACAAATACCTGAATTTGAAACTAAGTTCAAACTGTTCAAACTTAGTTTCTTGGTGAAAAGTCATGTTCAGAACATCGGGGTTGACTTTGCGTGAAATCACAGTTCTCCCACCCTCACGTGAGCAGGGTCCAAAATCCGGCGACGGTTGGTTTCACCAACATGGTTTAACAGGCTTCTTCGGCTTGTTCCCACCGACTCGCTCTTTCTAACATTGCCAATGCAGCGTTCCCCAAGAGATAGTGGCAAGAGTTGTTAGATTCACAAGCCAATCCCCCAAATCAGCTGGTGAATGTGATCCTCGACATGGTTTTCCAGAACCGCTACCGTGGATGGACGAAATCCATTTCGCACCACCGTTCAGAAACCCTGGTTTCTGAGTCGATTCCCCTCTAAATACCAACCAACGTTCTGGTTTCAACCATGGCTTCCTAGGTGACGCGGTTTATGGATTTCGCCACCATCCACAGCTTGGTTGACGTTGGAAGGGGAGCAAAACTTCAATTTTTAGCAGTTCAGTGCGGATTTCCCACGAAGCCACAATAAGCAAAAATGTAACATGTTTCCCAACGACAACCATGACAGATTGAATCCCAAAGGCCACATGTGAACCAGGCCTTGGAGCAACTGCTGCCTCTCCACAGCTTCGCCATGGTCACCCCGTAGCGCATCCTGAGAGATGAGATGCCTGGACTTGAAAAATGCGCCCGGCCTGACGGAGTTCGATGGTCATAGATTGGGTGAAGACGAAGAGGTAAGTCATAAATGGGATATGAGGGATATGTCATGAGTTGCCATGAGTCATGAGTCATAGTCATAGACAGTTTGCACGCGAAATCCCACGAAACAGTGTTCCTGCCGTCGTTTGCACGCGTCTTTTCACGTGTGGCTGTTTGGCTCTTCTGCACCTCATTGGATCTGCCGCTTTCCAGACCCCCTTCAGCAGGGGTACGCCCGAAAGCATTGTGTGAGGGATATCCATGGAATGCAACTTGTCTGAAGATAAAACACCGAGCGTTGGCGACAAGGGCCACTGGAGAGGCACATATCTTCACCAAAAAAGGCTCAGCCTAAGCTAGGTGCAATTTGAGAAATAGATGCTTATGATTCGGTTACTGTAAATATACATGTGTGCACGTTAGCCACCCGCACATAGCTCGAAGCTGCACTGCAAAAGGCACTAAATGGCCGAAGCATCCAAGATCACCCAGTCGTGACCCTTCCAGCTGGGATCGGATGTCTTGAATAGGCTTGCTGCCATGGCAATTGCAAAGAGCGCCACGGCGTACCAGATCAGAAAAATCAGGAAGCCCACTGCAGGCTTGGCATAGTCCTGCACTTCCACTGGAAACTTGTGCAGGATGGGTGTCACGATGAATCGCAGCACCACAGCATCAACGGCCTGCTAGGGCTGTGATCCTCTTGATTTGGGTTGCAACCAATCTTGGATCAGCCCCCTTCTTCAACCATGTTTAGGCCGCCTTGCTTAAAGCCTCCGTTTGATTCCCCTTCAAAGGCGGCCAGGGTCTAGCTGCTCAACCAATTTTGGCCCCACTCTGACTACAATCACTACAACCGCCTTTTTGTAAGAATCCTCAAAGGGAAATCAAAGGAGGTGGTTGAGCCACTTCTTCGTGGCCCACCAACTCCTCCAATCCCCACCCCCGGAGGCCTGAAAGGTCAAAACGGCAGTGAATACCGAGATGGTGGTAGTGATGATGGACCAGGTGTACCTCTTGATGTCGAAGTCGGGGTAGTTCACGAAATAAAACATCACCTGAACGTGAAAGAGACCTGACACATTAACAACAAACAGCATGGGTTCGCCTGAGACTCCCCGCAAAGAAAACATAAACTGCTCGTGAGAGAGAAACAGCCACTTTCCCAATACAAAAAGGTCACGCCGGTCGCACCAAAATCTCGCCAAGGCACCATAGTGAAGAAGAGTGAGCCCATCAGTGTCCAGCTGCAGCCAACGTCAACCGGCGTGAACTCCTCCTCCTCAGTCTGTTTGACATTTACCCCCCTTTTCTCATTTCACCATTGAAGTTGCAGCCCCCTGAAGTGGCAGTAGCCCAGGCATCTTTCTGGCAATCTTGTGGACGCCCAGTCAAACATGAAACTGCCACACACAGTTTGTCTATTCGGCAAAGATGACAACACAAACAGCCTCTCACGGTTGACATCCTAAACAATTGATGTAATTTCCGACGTTTTGGGGTCGGGTTCTGGCAAAATCCAGGGAACCGTCATAGGGGTCTGAAATTTAATTGGACCCTGTTACATCATTAGGCGGACATGTCCCCCTCGTTTCAACTCAAGTCTATCTCCTCCTCTTCCGCGTCTATCTCCTTCTCTTCTGTGATGCCGGCGTGTTCTCCTTCCGCGCTGCCGTTTGCTAGCTCTTGCAGCTGCCGGTAGAGTGGGTCCTTAGGCCATTGTGAAGCACCAAGGCTCGGTCAAACTCGGAATCAACCTGGTGGAGCCTTGGAGTGCTTCCCAAACAGGGATCCTTACATTACACTCCTAAACATTGCCTTGTAAATCGTGGTTTCCAACTTTATTTTGGTGGAAAAAGCCATGTTTCAAACGTGCAAACTGTATCTTTTAAGGAGCCCTGCCAAATGTTAAAGGTAGCCCTCATTTGACGAGCCAGGGGTTTGTTGATCCTTGGTGAACGCTATTTGTGGCTTGCTCTAGCAGGTTTATGTAGCACGCAGGAAGGGAATAGTACAAGCGAAGCGAGCTTTTGAAGCTGGTTCAAGACAACGGACACAGCGAGGGCGACATACCATGCCACACCCTTGCAAGCAGTCGGGTCCCTGAGGCAAATTGTCAAGCCCCCCTTTTCTATACGCGAATTGGTATGCTTCAATTTATTCAAGCCTCATCTATGCACACAAGTCTCACAGCACTGCAACACCACCTTGGGCGGTATGTGCGGGGGGGGGGGGGGGACCGGAAAATGAAACACCTCTCAGTCCCGTTCTGGTCAGGTTCTTGAGAAGCGCTCATATTCTCTGTCGAGTGTCCAACCCGGGGGCCTCTGTGCCCGTGATTTCACGTGCTGGAGGGAATGGCTATGACTCCTAAGTTCACTAGGATATCCGGTTCTTCGTGGAAAACTTTCATGACACCTACCCTCCCTTCAAACGGAAGTGCACAGGTCGTCTTCCAAAAGGGGCCTATGCACTCCCATGTGCTTCCAATGGTGGAAGGGTACGCTTCAGGCAAACAAATGCTAGGAGCTAAAGAAGAACATCACGATGGTGCTGTGCCCCTGAACTGACAAATGCCTCACGGGACAAGGTGTGCAACTCAGCTTGCATTAAATGCCTTGAAAGATTCCTAAACCTGAAGTCCCCTTCTCACTTCCTGAGTAGATTGGCCAAAACAAGTCCGAACTTCTTGTTTACCAGCAAAACGGTCTTCCCAAAAAGTGTAAAATCCTTTGGAACGGTACCACCAGAAATGAACAGAACCCAACCACAAAAACAACTCAACTGCCAAGAACAGTGCAGGATTCCTAAGCAGGTGGGTCCTCAGAGACTTTCCCTCGGACCGACGATCGCCTTTTCAAGCCTCGGGGCCTCCAGTGCCTTCGCCTCCTGAAATCTCCGGATCAGCGCGGCGGCCTCCGCCCGCAGCGCCGGGACCACTTCCGCCGGCGCAGAGGCGAAGGCGAAGGCGAGGCCGGGCGCGAGGAAGGCCAGCCGCAGGAAAGTGGCCATGGCCGATTTGGGAAGCCGAAAAAGACCCTACACGGTGAATATGGGGTCAAACCAGGTCAGTGCCGAAAAGGACAAGAAAAGCTGAGGTCCAGCCAGTCGCTAGTGCGGGGCTCTACAACATAGCCTTCTTCATGGGGGGGCGCCTGGAAAAGGATTGCTCCAAAGAGCGGGTGCAAAGGTGGATAAACTTGACCAATGTTCTGGCCTTGTTGTTTCTATAAGCTGGCGGCAGCGCAAAGCAGCGCTACTGCGGAAAGAGCCACGAAGATACAGCAGCCCTGCTGTGTGGTGTCAGGTGCTTGAATCGCGTCTGAGGATTTCAGAGCAGGGCCCTCAACAATGGCCCTCAACATGGGCTTGGCTTCAACCTGCCACCAGCCTTTGATTCGATTTCAGGTGAGTACTCAAAATCTGATATTATGGGGCCTACCCAAAACCCATCGTACAGAATCCAAAGGATGGCCTCTTTAGCACGTCCGGTCTTAAGTCCCAACTCACCTTCCCGGATTTTCCTGGATGGAGGTGCCCAAGATTGGGGTCCCCTTTCACGCCATGGGTTGATTTTCGAGTTGATTGTTCCGCCCGCCCGCCCCCCCCCCCCCAAAAAAAAAAGAAGGCGCCCTTGGTTTTTCTCTGATGTTCAAGGGAACCCCCCGGCAAAAACGCGGAGAAATCGCCACGGGCACGACTGAAAGTCTGGGCTACATTCGGGTTCAAAGGTGTTGGAACAGCTGAGTTCTCTAAAATAAAATAAAGATCCACGTAGGCGGTCATGTAGGCGGTCTGCACTTATTCAAATACATCCTAGAATCTCAAGCATTTGCTCCACCAGAGCCAGGTCAATAAGATCCGCTAGATTCCGCTAGGCTTTTCCTTGCGGCTAGGTCGGATTGCAAGCAGGTTTCAACACCTGAAGCCATTCCTCCATTTGCTTGTCCCTTGGGAAAAAATGAAAAACACATATTTCCAGTAGTGAAATCGATTCCCTTTACAACCAACAAGGGGAGAAATGACATATTCATTTCAGCAAATGGAAGCCATTGGATCAACCCGACAGTGGAGCAGACTGCCTCGCCGGAGGCGCTCCGTGAGGATCTTCACCACCACATCCTTAAGATTTTGTACGCTTGACGATCTGGGCGACGGTTGACGGGCAAGGAGACCCCCACACCACCCCCACACCACACCCACACCACCCCCACACCACCCCCACACCACCCCCACACCACCCCCAAACCCAAAGAACCCACAAGGTAGTGGGCACTTGGTAGTTTCTTCCAAATCCCCCCCCCCACCCCCACCATTTGCTGAGCCAACTCTTCTTGTCCGCCTTTAGTTTGGTATTCCTAGGTTGGACCGTTCACTGTCGGGCAGCTCTAATACGGCATGATCTGCAAGAGAACCTGACAACGTGGAGGTCTGCAAGTCCAAGTGCGGTAGGAAAATGGGGTGCCCTCCAAGCTTTGCCAGCTCTTGCCACACGCAATTGGGGATTCTTTGCTTGATTTTGGGCAAGATCCGGATCCGCAAGCCTGCGCTCCGAAAAAATCTCCCGGGAAATATGCAGCAAATGGCCAAGGGCCTGGCAACATTCATGATCGGGTGGCAGCCTGGCATCGACTTCGGAGCCGACTTTTGCTTGGATCTTTATGCTAGGTCCTCCAGATTTGAGAGGTTAGAATAAGTTGGTACCCGAGTTTTTCCTGTAGTCTATTTTAGTAGGGGAACCCTCCCCCAAAAAAGAAACGGTAAAGGGGCACTACTGGGGGACCTAGTTATGGGTATAGGAGCTTCTCACCACCCCGCCCCCCCCCCCCCCCACCCGACCAAAGAGCACGAAACCCCATTTCAGGTTGATTCTAAGAGTGCCCTGTGATGCCTTCCTGGATGTTCCCGGTTTCCAACTCTCACAAGGCTGGAGCCAGCCTGCCAAAGGCCCCCTTCAAAGCCGATTCTTTCGTTGGCAATCGGGTCAGCGAAAATTCAAGGGCTTCAAGAAGCTCGGCCACAGGCCTAACATGGGCCAGCCCCGCACAAAAGGTACCCGGCCCAAAACCATGGCGTGAAATCCTTTTTTATCAGTAGATTGGGGGTCCAGTGCTGCGCTGACCCCTCGAAGAAATCCTGAGCCTCAAGAAAGGAACGCCATGTGAGCACTCTCGTGCCTTTGCCACGGCAGCCAATCCAAGGAACCCTTGGCACGTGCCAGGCATGAAGGGCTTACATCTATCCCTACCTGCCCAGGGTCAGGTTTGTTTGCTTGTCTGTTGAGGGTACGACGTTTGAGTTCAGCCAAAGGAAAGTCAACCAGGCCCTTGTAGCAAGATACAAGCAACCTGCATTCCAACAAACATGCCAAACAACACATGCAAAGACAAGACTGCAAAACACACAGCAGCTATGCACCTCCACGCATCCACATAAACATGCTGGATTTGGCCGAAAAGCCAGACAACACGAAACATCAACGATCTACCTGAACCTCTGAGCTTGGAAGCCCAAGAGCAAACAAGAGGCAGAGAACAGAGGGAAACACACAGCTAAGCATCAGCTGAACTGGCAACAGCAAGCCTTGCCAATGTGGCCCACACTTACATTCCAGGCGCCTCAAAATGCGGCCATGAGACGGACGGAGTTCCCTACAAATTACGCCTACAAGGCAACAGCCACACCCAATCTGAGTTCGGTTCACCCCCCTCCCATGCACGCCTTTAGGCGCAAACCGTTTCACCGGCAGCTTGCGCAACTCCACTTCGCCTAGTCCGCGCTCGGAAGATGGCATCCCAAGTTTATGAAACATGTCCAAAACAGGAGTCGCACTTGAGGGAAGAGAATATGGCACTCAAAAGCAAATTGTCAGAACCCGTCACCCGCCAGCTCCAAGAGGAGCAGGCAACAGCAAGTGAGACCTTTCATGCCCGCTGTCCACCAGGGTCTCAAGAAGAAGATGAAACATCAACCTTCCAGTAAAAACGGTCGAATCTGGGCTCCGAAGCCTTCTCTCTGGCTGGCCTGCTGCAAGGTCCTGAGGACCAAACCGACAAATCCGGGATCCTCCCCCAATTGGGAAGTGTGGGCTCGCGATTGAAGCGAACATGGCAAACGGGGGATTCCCGGGATGGCCATCCCATTTCCAAGGTCGAGATAAAGGAAAACGGAAAAAAAAAGGGTTTTTTGATTGGGGGATGGCCCCCATTTCCAGACACTAAGAGTGAACCTTTCGGACTCAGCGAAGCTTAGGACCTGCCTGTGAAAGCCGAAAGCGTTGCTTCCGGGGGTGCATGGTGCCTGCAAAAGAAGTGACGCCGCTGGTGGTTGTTTCCCCCCTGCTGAAGGTCGGCCACGTCAATGCACACAAGCAACAAGCTGCGAGAGCGACTCTGCGAAGCAAGCTCAGGATCAAAGCCCTCAGTGGAGCACTTGTGATCAAAGGCACATATGCGCAGAACCTACTTGTTGGGCCCAAAGGGAAACACGCTTGGAGATGGGTACGCGCTACCAAACTTCGAGAACAATTCCATCTGGAACAACTGCGGCACCAAACATGTAGGATAGAAGTGGCTTTCCCCCAAACAAAACGGTAAAGGAAATGCCCCGCTGGATGTCTGGGTGCAGACCGGATTTCCCAGACCGGGGCAGTCCTGCCCCTTTGGGGTCTGCGATCCACAAGCCCGCCGATCACGTAGATTTTGCCTTCCTGCGGACACGTTCCTCTGGGCTCGCGGTCATAAGGGAGGGCGTTTCTCAGTTGCCCAAGGGACCTGCAACTAAAAGGTTACCTTTTGAGGCCATGACTAAATATGGATGAAACAGCAAGGTATGTCGCACCCTCACTTCCTGACTAGATTGGTCAAACAAGGTTTTCCACTCCCCGTTTACCACTACAGTGGTCTTCCCAGAAAGTGTAAAGCCCAGAAACTCGGGGAGCGAGCATCACCAAGAGCCAGGGGAGAGACTCTGACTCCCATGCCCCAACCGTAAATGTACGCATCCTGCAGTAGTATGTATCGCAAGAAGGGAAACAGTCTCGAGTTCTTCAACGGCATGCGCCTTGATTTTCGACAAACGAACAAGCGGGGATACGGAGGGAGCGGGGATATGCGGGGATTCGCCATTTCCCATATCAAACTTGGTCAAGGTGCATTTAGGGGAGTCCTCCCGTATCCCTGGTTCCCCCTGTAACGCTAGTTGGTTTCCCTGACTGATTGATGATTCGACATGCTTGAGCCCTGAAAGTCGACTCCTCAACGGTCTCCAGCTCTGCGTCGGCATCCGGAGACAGAACCTTCAGGCGTAGCAGTGCGCGCGGCTTTTTGCGTCTCGCCGCTGTCAGGATCCAGCCGTGGCAAAAAAGGGGTTGATAAATAATGTTGCCGTTGTTGTTGTGCTGTCTTCCAATCGTGCTCTGGCCTTTTGGCGGTCGACCAGTCCATCTAGCAGGCAGCTACTTAAGCACCCTACATGCTGAAAGTGAAACTTTAAAGCAACAAGCTATGGCTTGCAGAAACGTATCCCAGTTTAGATGGGGTCCCGACCATTTTTTGACCACAACCTGCCAGATGTGCTTCATCTGCGGTCAACATGTGCCTACAACATGTTAGATTATTGGACCGGTTGCAGCAACGTTGCTTGGCCGCTTTGCTCCATGCGAACCATGGTTGCGAGTCAAAAAGTTGCCGTCTGCGTCAGTGCCTATCAAACATACCCCTTAATCCGTTCCCCCTATTAATAAAGGTCTCCCTAATAATAAATATTTGTTTCGGAAGTCCCAAATCCGGGAATACTACTTTTAGAATAGCCAATACTAAACCAATTCTAAAGTAGATATTTTCCTACCCGTACTCAAATCCAGCCCCATTAGGGGGACCCCGGGGGCACGTTTCCTTTACTACGGCTGTACTACAAAGTTGCGACTTTCGAGCCAGAGCTCCGGGACCACAGTTGCTACAGAGGCTGGACAGAGGCTGGACCACAGTTGCAAACAAGCCTACACAGAACAAGAAGTACCTCCAAAACCTGCCCTCCAGAACCAGGGGACCCCTAATAATAAAAAATTGTTTTGCAGGCCGGGTATTTTTTTTATTAGGGGGGGGGCGTCGTTTATTATTAGGGGGAAGGGATTAGATGCGGCCTTCTTTCCAACTGTGTTGTTCCCATCAGCTTCCCAACAAAAAGTTGAACAAAGGGCGGAATCCACTGGGCAACCTGGGTCCCTATGTGGCTGTGGGTCTAAAATAGGTGCCCAAAATGGAACCCTGGCAAATGGGACCAAGGATGGTGATGGTGGTTTGACTTTGATCCATACTGATGTTGCGTCCAAGGCCTCACCTGCAAACAGCCCCTGTGCACCGCCAAACTTCCGGCCCTTTCAGCGTCCGGCGACCAAGTCCTCAGGCCTCAAATCGGCCCGAAAACACGGGGCTTGACAAATCCGGGGGGCCGAATGGGGTTTGGTCTGGAAAACACCGGAAACCTACATGTGTTGTCTTGAGTTCCTTTTCCCGGGTCCACCTTCTAAAAGGGTCCCTCTACCTGAGGAACCCTTTGATTCCCCCAACAAGCCATCCTCAGCTGGTACTTGCACCCGCTGGGGTTGGTTATTTTTACATCTGGGCTCCTTTGTCAATGGATTAAGTATGGATGATACCTCTAGGGATGCCCTTCAAATCAAGAGCCGGCCTGGGTGCAAATTGAGAGGCCTGTTTGTTGCTTTCAGACTACTGAATCTTTTTGGCGGTTTTATTGATAGGTGGCATTGATAACTATTACAATTTGGCACCCAAGAACGACGGGTATTCCCTGAGCAGAAGTGAGTCCTAACCTTTCGGAGGTTTGCCGGAGCATCCAAACCAAAAAAGATCTATGAGCTGCCGGCCACCATGCGGCCGACTCTGCGGATGCCAGTAAAAAATGAAAGCTTGTCGCCCCCCCAACCAAACATGAACAGAAGCGGAAAAAAAAAACAACCAAAAAAAAAACACGACGACACCCCTCTCGGCCGATTTTTGAGAAACCAAATCGAAACCATGCATGTGGTGAATTTGCTCATGCGACAAACCCGCATATCCAAGCATCGAGCACCGACCTTCAAACCAGATGTCCGAGGCTTCCACGGGAACAGGTCCCAAATGCTCTCCTGGTGCATGTGCATCTTCCAGCCCTTCATTCCAACCGCCTGCGCCAGCGAATGGCACACACTGACTGAGCAGTCACACATCCAGCCTCCAAATGCTGCATCACCGGATTGCCGGAGGTGAGCGAGGTCAAATGCAACCTGAGTCACTGCATGTTGCGTCTGTGAATCATCAAACATCATAGCCATAGCCGACTTGCTCTTCCCAGCTAACAAGTTTGGGCTGGCGTGTCCAAGTTAATGAACATGAAATCATGTTTTGTTACTGAGGACTTTGGCTTTCGAATCACCACGCACGGACAGTGGCACACACAGGCACACACAGGCGAGGCACACACACACACACAGAAACCGCCGGCTGGCAGATGTGCTTTAAGGCCCTGGCTGAACTTGAGCCTTGGACTCCTTGAGCCAAGCATAGGCCAGCTTCACCTGACCGAAGGCACTTGAGTGGGACATCATCGATTCGATCAGGAACCTATTTAGGCGGGTTGGCCCTGATTTGGGGCGACAGGTTCCAAAAAACGACAACAAAACGACCAGGCGGCTCACTTACGTACACTTGGCAACCTGACGTGTTCCATGGCATCTGAAAGGGACATCTCAGAGTGATTCTGGGAGGCTCAGGGGTAATGCAATCATGGCCCCTCTGCCATGAGGCTAGGGAAAGCCACTTTCCATCCCTTAGACTTTCATGGCTGCAGGTCGCTGTGGGCTCTGATTCTGATGGCTGGGTGCAAGAAGAGAGGTCTGGCAAAAAAAAAACCTACAAAGATGTCCATCCCCGTTTGGTTGTGAGCTAGGCATCCGCTGTCTAACATGGTCCCCGCATGCCTGAAGGGCCAGTGACTTGTTGTCCTGCTTGGACATAAATTCCCCGAAGCTGCCTCGGATTTGATCCGGAAGTGGAATGTTCCATGCCACTTTGTCTTGTCTTTTGAGAAGGTTACAAATTGGCAGTTTGGCACCAAGCGGAAGCCCAGGGCTCCCAAAACGAGCTGGGCCTGCCGCACAGAATTCCCAAGTGGATCCCATGTGAGAATGGGCACAGTGGGGTGGAGCCGTGGCCCGCTTCTAGAGTCGTCTTGTGTCCATTTGCAAACGTAAGTCCCTGAAGAAGCTTGGCTCCACCAGGCCATCCTTCGCAATGGCGCACCTGCTTTGCGACTAGAAACGACACGTCTGAGAAATGAAAGGCATCGCGTGGCTGGGTGCAGCCCTGAATTTCCGGAGCATGCCCATATCATGGAACCCTACTCCAAGCAAACAGTGTCGCAACATCATGGATTCAGAAGCATAGGTCCAGGAAGCAGTTGGGCTGGGCCTAGGCTTCAATTAGACTTTGCAAAGCCACCCAAAAGGGTTCGAAAACTAAAAACTCCATACTCCTGCCTATCAAGCCCTCCGAACCCTGGTAAGCTCTGTCATAGTTCCCATGGTCCTTTGCATTGTGGGGAATGGGCCCGCAAGAGTGCCTTCAATGCCCATCGGTTTAAAAGGCAAGCCCCTCAATACATGGAATCTAAAGGCAGTCGCCTCCAGATACACCCCTTCAAGCTAATAAGGTTGACCCTCAACAACCATAAGGCCTGTTGATTGAAGGCCCTCAACAACCATTAACAAACATGATAGCCCTCAACCATAACTTGCTGGTGCTCAGCAAAAAATGAGAAATGGAATGAGGTGGTTTCCCTTCAGGAAGTGCCCAGGTTCATTCCATGTCTCACTCCCTACCTACTGAGCACCAGCAAGATAAAGCCTGCCTGCAAAATTGGCCCGGGGAATCGCAGCAGGGCCCCCGGACAATTGATCACCACCTTGGGCCGGCCCTCCTGGTAGGCCCGCCGAATGCTCGCCTCCGACTCCTCCTGCCCGAAAAAAGTCGCTGATTCCCCATGAGTTTTTCATGGTTTTTCATCGGTTTTTCCATGGGTTTTTATGGAAGCCCCTTGACAAAAAGGGGTCAACCTAGATTTCCCTGTGTGGGCCTGGAACAACGCATGAAGTTTTGAACAGGTGGCATCCCACGTGGATACCCGTGTTCCACCGCAAGCGGGCAGGTCGTTTTGAGATGGTCCTAGCCCTGGGCTTACAGCAAAGGAACCGCTCATCGGGACACATCTGGCATACATCGACCCGAAACGGTGGGCTGCTTATAAAACAAGCATCGCCCACTAAAAGGGTTGATGCTGTAAGTTAGGGCCTCACTTCCAGGAACAAGGAGACCCTGCCCAAATGAGCCCGACGAACGCAGTGGAGCACTTTTTGGTCTTGCTCCTGCCGAAGGCGCAAAGGGACTGAACGAGGAGCTGGAGACAAATTAGGGCCCCGCTTCCAGGAACAGGGAGACCTGCCCAAAGCCCGATGGCAAAACGCATTGCACTTTTTAGGGCTGGCTTTCTTTCTCCTACCCAACCCAGCAAAAAAGGACCTAGAGGAATTGGAGGTGATCTCGCCCGCCTTCTCCTGGCGGAGGTTCTCGAAGTATGCGCGCTTCTCCTTCTCGCTCATGTCAGCCAGGAGTTCCTGGCAGGACTTTCGTATGACGTCTCCGTGGCGTTGGTCGAATTGCTCTTCCCACGGACCTGCGTGCTGCTTGGTTTATGGTGAGCACGCTTTTTTGCGGCCATGCAACGCGCACCGAATCTTGTTTGCGGAGGCATGTGCCGGGAAAACAGGTTTTGATACGTGCACCGCTCCAGCTCGAAAGCCGCAACTCCTCAGTACAAGCCAGTACGCAACGCGCAGATCCACAGCGACCCGGACTGGGGTTTGGTATGCAACGAGGCGTGCAGCGACTAAGGAGGTAGGTAACTGTAATGAGGTATAGCACCAAAAACACTTCTTCCGGCCCATCCCTGATACCCTTCCCAACCTTTCTTCTGAAGGGCAGGCTCTCTGCAAGGCGACTCTGGACAGGTAAGTCCAGCAAGATAATGTTCTGCAGAAATTGCTCTGCAGGCGCCCTTGAGAAATCAATCAGAGTCCGGGTATGCATCGGGGTAACTATGCAACATGAGGGCATGCAACCAGCCAGACGGTTTCAGTACTTAACAAAGGTTTGTAACAAGGAGGCATGCAAAGAGCCAGCAGGTCTTTGACATAGGGCATGTAACGGGGCGGCATGTCCGCCGCGGTTTTGTTACATACCCTCAGAAAATAACGGTGAAATGTTCTGATGTTCCATAGAACTGTCCGAGAAGCTCCCAATTGCACCAGCACACACACACACACACAACGTCTCCAGCTTTGCTCCATGTTAGTCTCTCCAAAGGGCATGCGGTTGGGTCCCAATATGCGAGTATTGCACTTACAAAGTACACTGAACGGGGTCGATCTTCAAGAAGGGATGCGTGTTTTCCTTCTCTTTTTCAGAAGAAATGCCTCGAGAATGGTGGGAGATGCATCCAATGCAAAGGGTGTAGACCCAAGGGCTACTTGACCTGCTTTAGCTCCTACATCTTCTACCTACAAATGGCTATCTTGCTGCTTCCCTTTCAACAAGCAAAATCTGGCTCGCATGTTCTTCCAGCTATGACCCATGCGGACCTCAGCTACATGGGGGTTGATTCGTGTCCCATCATTTCCGAGGCCATGCCGGCAAACAAAAAGGCACACAAACTCAAACATCCAACCACCTGAACCTGTAAAAACCTGTATGTTTTTCGCACCTTTACAAAAACAAACCCTGTGTTTTTCTTGGGTATGGCCAGTTTCATCGGTTTTTGCTTGGCGCCTGGCGCCTGGTGCCCAGCAACCAGCAAACCCCCCCGACCCAAAGCCCAAGGCCCAAGGCCCGCCCAGCCTCCCGCGCGGCCTTCTTCCTGCGCCGGTCCCGGCGCCGCTCCTCGGCCCTCGCAATGGGATTTTTCTGGGAAGCGAATCCATGAGAAAACACCGGTTGGTCTATTCATTTCAATATGGAACCCATCAATTTCAACCCAAAAGATGGGGAAAGGACAGGCAATGGATTTGTTTTGCTTAGGACAGATGGGCGGTGGTCTCCATGTTAACCCCGCTCCTCGCTCCAAAGGGCAAAGGAGTCTGCGCTTGATTCTGCCAGAAGTTGGAACAAGTCAGACCTGAAACTCCAAGGTGCGCACAACCGGCGCTTCCAGTAATGGGGAAAAACCGGTTGGTCTATTCATGTAAATATGGAACCCATCAATTTCAACCCAAAAGCTGGCATGAGGAAACAACCGATTGTTCGGTTCCTTCAGTGGAAACTTGATGTCAACCAAACTGTCCAAGCCCAAAGATATCCATTACCCAGCAATCAAGTATGGGAGAATAAAGATATTGTACTACTCCTTTAGTGAAACCCATCTAGTTGAAACCAAAAGGATACTTAACTTTTCGGAGGCCTTCCTTCTGGCTGAATTGTTTTACTTCCCAGGTCGTTCGGTCGAATTCCTTTACGACAATGACATTCAACTCTTATGGATCCCTTTTTATTGAATGGGGCGGGGGGTGTCCCACTTTTGAAGAAGTCCTTCACACTTGCAACACCCCCCTGCTCAAAAAGGCATGATTGCGGATTTGCATCAGCGGTTTTTGCATAACAGGTACATTTTGCCAATGTACTTGTTGTTCAGCACCCAGAAATGGATGAGTCACCTGTTCAGGACGCTTGCGCCTCTGCTGTTTCCTGCGCTCCTTCTTCTGCAGCCACCTGCCGCGAAACCCGGATGCAAGCACAGGCAAAAGGCCAATGGCCTGCGGAAGGATTGGCAATTGCACTCATTCACCAGTGGGTGCAGCACAGTCGGCTTGCAGATCGTGCTCTTTTGGGGAGAAGTGCGTGAACATCAACCTCTGTTTCCTGAATTGCCTGAGTCACTTTCCGGTCACTTTGGCCATCCCACATGGGTTCGCCAAATGGGGCAAGCCGCACAAACAAGCACGTGGATGTCCTTTGGTCTCCGTCCATCAACAGAAAGCGCGGCTATGAGGGCCCCTGTTTTTGCTGGGAAGTCATATTTTGTCATATGAAGATGTGCTGTTTCGTTTGCATTCCTGTCCCATGCTCCAAAGAAAGGGGGCCACACCCACATCCCGCCTTTGCTCCCTTCGCCACTTCTTCCTCTCCGCCTAGCGCAGCTCTTCGAACTTCGCACAAACCAAACTCACGCAAAACACACGAAATCCTTAGGCAACCGAAACGACCGTGTTCTTCCCCCAAAGGAAGCGGGGAAAAGCACACATGCCCTCCACGAAAGAATTGGGAGGCAACTTCAATCTCAAATTATTCTGAACGCCTTTTCAGGCTGTTGTGTTTTGCAAAGGTTGGCCATGTTCCCCATAAGGGAACTCAAAGTTAATGGACTGGGGCCCTGCCCTCTCTCACAAAAAAAAAAAAAAAACACGTCCATGACTTTGGGGAGCTGGGCATCAGAAACAAATCTCCAATCGGATTTGAGGAACTCAAGTCCCTTTACTCTTAAGCCCTTCAGGCTTTAGGGATGCAGCCCCCCCCAACACATGTACCATGGCTTCAGGTGCTTCCACCACAAAGAAACAACAAAAACGCGGACGGCTGAGGCACAATCAATTTGAGTAAGACTCTGCTTTTTGCTGTGTTACTTTTGCAAATCCACTTAGTTTCTCTTGGTTTGTTTTCAAAATGCTTTCCTGCTTCGCCGGCTATTGTCGTGCCATGGAGCAAACCTTGAACCGACCTTGAGCCGATTTGGCTTTTGTCTGGGTGTGCTATGATATGTCTCCAAGCAAAAATAAAGGAACGCCAAAGGGACCCTCATGATCATGAGGCCCTGATGCCAAGCATTTCCTTGCAGAAATCCGAGGTTCAGGCTTTGGTCATTCCCACCAAGCCTCGGTCACATGGATCAGGGCAAGTGGATAACGGCCTCTGACACCAGCGTTGCAAAAAAGAAAGAAAGAGGAAACCGCTTTTGGGGCCAACAACAAAAAATGAATGTGGAACCCGCAAAACCCAAAGGCAAAAGGGGAGACACACAACTTGGAGAAAAAGGGATATCAAATTTGGCCAAGTCACTGCTCGTCAACCCCCTTTCCGTGATGGCCAGACTTTGTCATTTTAAAGGGAGTCGAGGCCCTGTGAGCATTGGTTTACAGAACTTGGTCTACGCCAACATATTGCGCAATGTGTCAACCTGTGTCAAACCGAATGTCAAAGGAAAGTAGATGCCCTCACGAGGGAGAACTCCCCACGAATCACCCAGTGTTTGTAAATCCTGGAGTTAGAACAATTGCCCTTCTCGTGACCACTTCTTCATATCTCAAACGGGAACCGCGACAAGTGCTTGCACTAGCGGCTCACTAGCCCAGGCTAGGCCGGCATAGTTGTTCTAACGTCTGGCCAATTGGCTGGCATTTGCTTTCTCCAAAAGGCATTGGTCCACAAGGCTTGCAACTGAATGACCATGATGTTCGCTGGGGGTACGACTTTGATTTTGACCCACAGCCATTTGTCGCAGAGGCGACGCTTTTTGGGTGTCGCTCGCTGGGGCTCCCAGGCTCTCCTCCCCAGGCAGCGGAGAGTACTTCTTGCGCTGCGGAGGCGGCGCGGCCTTGCCCCGCACGCGGCGCCAGAGCCGCGTGGCCGCCGCGAGACAGGCGGCCCACCAGCGAAGGCGGGGCGCCTGGCGAGCTGAAACGCCATGAAGCGTGGGAATAGAGAGAAAGGGGTATGGGCCAATATTTTTCCAGGATATGGGCCGCAGGTTTCAGTGCACGTATTCTTGACCCACACCCCAATATCTACACCGTTGGTACATGACCCCCCTGCACATTACCCTACCGATTCGCATGGAACCTGACATTCGCGGGCCCCTTAAAAATGAAAACTGTCCAAAACCAGGACCCCCCGGTCGTCAGGTTCCATGTTAAGTGGTGGGAGCTCGAGGGTAAGTTCAAGCCCGAAGGGAGTCCCCCCAAAGGTGGTGCCTTCTTGGAACAAAAGGGAATCCATCAAGGATGTGGCCGAGGAAATATGTCTACAAGCATGTGTCAAAAGAAAGGCATAGCCCAGTACAAATATAGGCATGCAAATAAGCATGACCAAAAATACGAAGATATACTCAAAAAGGCTGGCCGCCTGTCCCCGGCACTTGAAAGGCACTGGACTCTCAAAGGTAAACATGGGTCTTTCTCAAAAGTGCCCCTTGAAACTGTCCAAAGAAGGGTCCCGCCCACATGCGCAGGAACCTTCGGTGAGTCAACTTCAGCACCATTCAGAGGGATCGATTTCTCTGGTCCAGCCTTGGCTCATCCGACCCCTCCGCCTCCTTTGGGGGAATGCAACATGGCTTCGTTAGCCTCCAGCTCCCGTTGTTCAAAGCGGTGTCCCAACCCCCCAAAAAATATCGTGCGAATGGAGTGTGAAGAGCCAGATGGAAGTACTGTGCTGGTTACCTTGGCGGCCAAATGTTTGAGACGCTTTGACCGTTGAAGACGCTGGCTGTTTCCTTCCCTAAAGCCCTGGGCGAGAACAACTTCGCTCCCAAATGCGCCGGCAAACAACCCAAGCTCCTTCCTCTCGCCCCTGAGGGCTCTAGTCTGAACGCACTGACGCAAAATAAGGGAAATAGGGCTGGATTGAGAGGAAAGAATCCGCTAAACAGCCAGTCTATGGGTCGATTCATTGGCCATGTCCTATAGAAAGTGTTCGGATCGCTGGGGGGCTTGAACCCTACAAAGGGCCGTGGTCAATCTGGGGACATGCGGTGAAAAGGCCTTCAAAGCCACTTGGGTGGCGTTGAACCTCTGCGGAAGGCTGCTTTATGGTTGAATTGGGGGTGCCGGGCTCCCATACACCCTTTGTAGCTACGCAAACAAAAAATCTCAGTGGACCTTGGAAAGCAACTTCAGTTCTCAAAAAAATGAGTTGGTTGATTGGGGGGTGCCTTGCGCGGGTTGTTTACAAGGGCTCAACTGAGTCCAAACTGACATCCCCAATGCCCTCCAAATAGATCCAAACGGCTCCGCCGAGTTCAAGAAATTTCAATAACATCAAAATGCAACAAGGGACCCAGGTTTCCAGCTTCACGAGATACTCACCGCACTTCAGAAACCGCCCGCGCAGCGCCGGAAAATCGGTAATTTATTATTCAGCGCCTTGTGTTCGAGAGTCAGGGGTGACTTTTCGCTGGACTTCGGACCAGCGAATCGAGTGACTGGCCTGCGCATCCTCCTGCCGTCGGGCCCTGGCGATTGCAGGCAAACAATCGGAAGGCCATGGTGCGGTGCGCGGTAATATGGCCATGGGGCAGAATCCATGGTTCCCTTTTGCGGTGGATGAACATCCATTTGCCACCTATTTTGACGTTCACCAGGGGTACAGTTTTGACCCACAGCCAAACTCCCCAGCCCCCGGTTCAATAACCCGAGATCTTCTTTGCAGAACCGCAGCCAAAATCAACAGAAGCAACAAGGCAACAAGCTCAGATACGAGACTGTCATGGCTGTGCATTTGTTGTGCGGGGGGAGAGCGGCTTTCTGTGGATCCCGCAAACCACCCGTGATGTGGGTTCCTCCTCTTTCGAGACCATCCCACATGTCCAAGAGCCATGTCGTCCTAAGTCTTGTGAGCCTTTCATTGCTTTCACAGAGGCCAACAGAGCCTGTCCAACTTTGTGGTGGACTGATGGCATCCCGCATGCCGCATGCTTGCTACATCTCTGAACAGCGTACCGGGCAATCATTGGTCGCAGTGCTATGGGCACCTGTGGCGGTCAGGAATGCTTCCCAAACCATGGCCGGGCAGCAACACACTTCGATCTTTGCATGCGCGGAAGCAGCTAGCTGTGATTAACAGGGTGTCTTGTTGCATGAAGGCAACCTTTTCGTGCAGCAAAATGGAACTTCTCGCGTAGTTTGAGACCACCCACATGCCAAGAGAGCTGGCACGCCTGTCCCGGGCGTGCCTTCGAACGCCCTTTTCAACAACACTTGTGTCTTCATTCCGGTCGCGTGGCCAAAGCAAAATGAGTTTGACTCACAAGCGGGTCACAACATCAACAGCATCTGCACCCCCTTTTCGTAAATACGGGTCGACAACATACATTTTGAAAAGCGACTCCCCTTGACACATGAACCCATGCCGAAACGATTGAACCTCTTGCAAACGGGAAACAATTCAATGAACCCCTATGAGTACCTACCACCTGCAACTGGATTTGGTCCATCCGACACTGTCTCCGGGCCGTCATTTGCCTCGTTGTCAGCTTTGCTCGGACGGGTTTCGGCACCTGCCAGACCCGTCCCCCCCCCCAAAAAAAAAAACGCCCAAGGTTCCGACCCTGGCAGCAAAAGGGGTCGAAAGACCTGAGATGCTGAGGTCTGGTGAAGTTTCCTGTCATCCAGCCTTGCTTTGACAGGCGTTGTAAAGACTGCAATCGCCTATGCTTGCAGCCGCGGGAACGTGGGCCTTGCGGGTTGCAGACCTCCCATCATATATTCTTGATTGTTTTTCTTGCCGGGTTGATTCTAAAGCAACCCCCTCGAACACAAAGAAGAAAGGTCACTGCTGCAGGTCTGGGCCAACTAAGTGGAAATCAAGGATTTCATTATTCCTGTATGGATTGACACCAAACATGTCTGATCGAGCTTTTGCTTGATTCTTGCTTTAAGAGCTCCCAATATGGCATACAAGTCTCTCATCGCGCCGAAGCACGCACGCCTGCCACGTGCACCATTGTGCCGGAGCCGTCCTGCAGCAGCTATGTCTGCATTCGACGGGTGCCAGCGAAACACAAACACAATTCCTGGGTGCTAAGCAGGAAACAAATACCTTTTCTCTTTTGGCCTTCTGTTGGACAAGTGTCAACTACGGACGATT